TTGAACAACTTCTGGGCTCCCTTGATAGGACGCAGCCTGCAACGCGCTGCCATAGTGCCCGCCCTCCGCATTGACATCTGCGCCATTCTCGAGCAGTAATTGAACAACTTCTGGGCTCCCTTGATAGGACGCAGCCTGCAACGCGCTGCCATAGTACCCGCCCGCCGCGTTGACATCAGCGCCCTCCTTGAGAAGAAGTCGAACAAGTTCTGGGCTCCCGTTATAGGCCGCGGCCTGCAACGCGTTGCCATATCTCCCACACTCCGCGCTGATGTCGGCGCCCTTTTCGAGCAGGAGGCAGACAGTTTCTGTATGACCCCCACCGGATGCGGCATGCAACGCGCTCCCATCCTCGGCGTCCGCTGCATTGACATCCGCAACCTTCTCGAGGAGCAGGCGGACAATATTTGTGTGACCTAACCCGGATGCCGTGCGCAAAGCAACCACTATGTCGTCCTCATGGGCATCTATTTTGAGTAGAAGGTGCACTCCTTCCGTGTACCCTATTCCAGAACACAGATGCAGCGGCGGTGGGCCATCGCGTCCCCAGCTTGGGGATTGGAGGGACTCGAAGTAGTCGTGCCATTCAGGACAGTGGAGGTGGTTCAACCAGTCAATAGTATAGCGATGCAGGTGGTTCAAAGCGGCATATTGATCGCTTCCAGCCTCCAGGAGACGCATTATCGATCTTTCTAGTGTGGCTCGGTCGTCGCAGCGCAGTAGGTGATAACTCCAATGTTCTGCGGCATACGAAGACAGTGGGTAATCCGGGAAGGTCTCCGCATTGAGAGGGTGGTCGGCAAAGTGGAGAAGATAGCCCACGCATGTGTGGGCAAGGAATGTGTGCGATAATCCCTGGCTGAGATCGCACTTGTGCCTTGCCGCGAATTGAGGAGACTTGAGGTAATCTGCGACGGATGCATGCGCGAGGATCACCACCGGAGTTGCGGTCCAATAATTCAACCTGTCGACAGCAATGAGCCCTTCCAGTAATGAACACACCCTGGTGGCGCATTGGTCTCGTTGGGTGGGGTGAAATACATGTCGGTGTGGGTCTGAAAAGTCGAATGCAAGAGCATCCTCGAGTTCGGCAAGGCTAAGTGGTCGGGCAGACCAGACGAGCCAGCGCAGAGCCACTTCCACCAAGACAAAATCATTTGGGTGAATCGATTCCAGGAATCGGTGGTAGATTTCAAACAGTTGACCTGGCAGATTGGCCAGGATGGAGTCCGGGTTCCGTTCCAATCTACGCCGGGATAATTCGATGAGGAGACAGGCAGCCAAGCGAAACCTGGAATTTAGAGAGTAAGCAAGTACGAAAAAAGTCAAATTAGAATCGACGATGACTTACATCCCGTTGCTCTTCTCCACAACCTTCCTAGTGATCTCCGCGGTATGCTTTGCCCAACGTTTCAATTTGGAGTTGGACTCGAGCTCGCTAGTCACGAATGTTGCTATATCTTCCTGCGTGGTTTCGAGCTCAAGAGAAACATGTTCCACGCCCTCGAACGAGGCCGTGAACAGTTCGCGGGTTTGACTAGTAAAGAGGAGGTGCACCGGGGTTTTACTGCTCCAACCTCGAAGCAATGATATAAGCCTCACAAGAAGATCCTGTTCGTTACACTCATCGAGTGCATCGAGGATGATATAGGTGTGGCCGAACTCCAAAAGTAACTTCTCCAGGATATCTAGAAGATTCCCATAGGTTGGCAGAGTCTGTCCCTTTGACAAATTGTACTGCTGGTCCAGGGTCGTGTACTTGGTGGGAGATTGTGCGGAAAGCTGTAAAATGATGGACCGAAGCATAATTTCTACGAGCTGGTTCTGTTCGTTCCTGAAATCAAAGTAGAAATAGGCAACTGCAGAGGTCCCGGCAGTGGGCTGATCATCGAAGAGCTGCGCAATTACTGTGGAGCTGCTGAATGTCAGATGCGAATTTCGGCCATTATGTTGGTGATAGGCATCACCTTAGTACGCTCTTCCCGGCGCCGGCTAGTGCCTCTAATTAAACTTTGACAGGAAGGCATTTGAGTGTCAATGGCTCACATTGTCCTTCAATCCATAGAGATCCAGGATTTTTCTTCCATTCATGGAACTGGCCCCCATTCAAGAACCAGTTTCCGGTGCCTTTGTGATGGAGTTTCTGCGTCGCATGTTGTTTCTCTGCCATGTCGGGCGGGAATTTCAGCCATTCTCGAAGTTTTTGTGCAAGGCTGGGATCAATTCAGTTTCCAAGCAATTAGCGCGATATTAACTGACGCTAAGAATTGGACATCACTCAGGCCAATCTGAGTCTCGATACCACGCTTGATCTAGCAGAGAAATAAATATGGTAATGGAGAGATCCGGAGGAGCGTGCTTACAATGAACCGGCTTGCAAAGGAATCCAGTTCACGCTCGAGAGCAGTCAACCGACTAGCCCATTCCTTCTGGTTTACGGCCCTGAATGCCTTGTTTTGACCATCGAAGCCAGAAATTAGTGCCAATGCTTTGGCAAGGAGTCTAGACTGATTGTTAAGCTTGACCATAATGACACGACGAACAAAAAACCAACCCAGCATATTCCTCGACGTCTTTCCTCAGACTCCCAGTAATCTGTTCGACATCCAGCCTCGTTTTCGTTTCATCAAGATCCTTAGTTATTTTTCCCAGCTTGGTGTTCAGCGTGTTTCGATTTTCACCCATGTCCTGAATTTCCTGCAAAAGAAGGTTGACACGGTGCAACTCAGTATCATATATTCGCCGTACCTTGCATGTTTTCAAGACCTCGGACAGAAGCGCAGCGACCGGAGCGACGAAAGGGACCTTATCAACCACGTTCGCGATTTTCTCGACGATATTGGCTGCAAGAGCAAGATTATCGACGTTGAGTACAGAGTTGGAGGTTTCGTTATCGACACCGGGCGAATCGTGGGCCGATTTGCCTGGCTCCTGTTTTACTCCGGTAAACTCTGCGTCAATGACATTGTGCTGGCAAACCGGTCAGCGAGACACGTGTATGCGGACCAGCATTCGTGCGGCTTGCCTTCTTTCGTTCCCACCACCCACGGCGTTGTGAGTCCACTGATCTAGCAGGACTCTGCTCCCTGGTTGCGCTCGTATCTCGGTGAGATTTTGTGAAGTGACTGCGGAGAGCTTTCATCGTGGTTCGGGACAAGAGGTGGCCGCATTCAGGCCGCCACAGACGTGGCAATGACAGCCAGCACATGTGCGCTGTTGGAACCAATTTAGAACCGGCAGTATCAAAAGCCGATTACTGTCACAAGAAAATTACGTTAGGCCTAAGGCGTGCCTCGGTGGGATGGAATAATCTTGCGTGGTTCGGCACCACTGGCTTTCATTCGTTCCAGGTGTGTTGTATATCCAGGCGAGAGGATTTTAGATGGCATGGATTCGGTGGGGATGGTCCGTGGTGGACAAACAGGTATTTTTGGAAATTTTGTTGACGGCAACTGTGTTTGCATAGCTTTGGCCCTCTTTGGTTGTGTAGACGCGCAGCCCACGTGCTGTTGCTCCTCTCCTCTCGCTTCCACCTCCGATTAGCAACAGCACAACTAGAATCCCAATATGTGGATTCTATCTTCCACCACATCTCCCCATCGTCCTCACTCCGCAGCCGCATGGTTCTCGTTCAAGCTCCGGACGGTGTCGGGCACGACCGGCTGCGCGATTGTGGACCTGCTCACGGCGCATCACACCCTGAATTCGTTGCGCCTAAAGACACGAGCGAACTGACGAGACGCCCCCGCGCGAAAATACGCGTCTATCGATTGCTGATGATGCTATCCCCGAAATCAACGGTGCGTGTCCGTACATCCTTCACAGAGTTCATCACTAGCATCACCAACCGCCATTGCACAGACGCTCCTAGCGCGGGCGCTGAAATCCACTACGCATCCGTAACTGGATGCGTTTACTGCGATCCACTGTACACTATACAGTCGGCATCCTTGCCCGACGGTGCGTGTTTTTTTACTTGCGGCGCCTTGGTTTTCGTCGTGGCGGACTGAAATATCGGGGCGGCTTTTGCGTCTGCATTGGGTCCCTGATCATGTATTCGCGGCTACCTATTCTCATGATATCGTCATTACAGCGAAGGGCTACTGCAATGACACTCGGTGGTGAAGGGTATCACATACGCTTTCCTTGTGACCTTCGACGGTTCAAAAAAGCCGCCCGGTCGATTCGGGTCCGAGTCATGAAAGTGTAGTGGATTTCTTTTTCGATTATTAGCTCTCCTCCGGATCCCCACACTCATTCTTTCTCCATGTCGCAAATTTCCGTTCTGCGGCTACGTCGGTGGCGCCTTTTGTTCTGTCAAGTTCGCGTTCGCATTTATCCAAGGCTGAAGTGGTATCAATACCGATTCGGTGGTGCAACTGCTCTCTGGAATCTACGCGACTTGGCCTCCTGCTGGAACTATTAGGACCCAAGTCGTCTCCGGGGTACTGATGCTTCGACACTGGAGGCTGCGTCAGTGGGGGCATCTCCTTCAAGTGGCACGTCCTTCTGATGGTGCTTTGCTCAGAGGATTCCTCGCTGGTCGCCTTCGCGGTGCGCTGTTCGTCGTTGCAGACTGGGCTCTAGCTCACCGCAGGGAAGCAATATGCGGCCACGCCGAAACCTGACCGTGGTCGTATAAATACTGGACCGGCGCAACTTTCAAAGGGAGGCTTGTACCACCGATGCCTACTACAGAATGTCCACCACTCACTTTGCGACCCTCGTCATCATCTCCGTTGCCGTTCTTGCAGTCAGTAACGGCAAGCCCATCAACGCGGGTGTTATGCTGCGTCCCAGGCGGCCAATACAACGAATTTGTACTGTATCGTAAGTTTCTGTTCGCACTCTCTAATGCACCTATATTCAGCATCCAACGAATTCAGGATCGCAGATTCCCGAAACGTACCCAATCGAGGCGTGTGTACCAATACTCAAAGACGAGTGTGCGTTTGAATTGATCACATCGTCCTAGGCTTGCAGGGGATGTGTACTGCACCGACTCGGTGGTGAAGGGTATCGCATCCGCTGCATGTACCGTGTGCTCCAATATAATTTCCGCGGAAGTCGCCCGTTCGATTCGGGCCTGAGTCATTCGCACGGTCGTTTATGTTTTTCGTTCTTTTCTGTGCCAGGCCGATATTATTTTGGTGGCTTCCAGACGACAGGTGAACCTGTCATTTCACTGTCTTTCATGGCGCTCGGTGCTCGATGCTCATCCCATTTTTTCTCTTTGGCACTATGATAGTCATTCCCAGACGGCGCAAATATTTCTGATCTTTATGCAGGGTGCAACCAAAGGTCAAAAGGGACTCGGTGGCGGATGGTCCGTCTTCAAGGAAATATACCTAAGATTCAGCAGAACTCGCCCGTTCGATTCGGGCCCGAGTCATACCACCGCACATTGCTTTTTGGATCTGTGGCTCTCCCGAGTCTCCTCCCGAGCACCGTTTATTTCCCTCGTTCCTCTGAGAATCTGTGCTGCACTTGTAAGTTGAAGCTTGATTGATTCATTGAGATTCTGCAAAGGCAGTAGAGGTGCTGAATTACTGACCAGGCGCTTGCCTAGCCGATGTTAATCTCATTTACGCAGGGCACATCCAAGGTAAATACCGACTCGGTGGCGGATGGCCCGCGTCTGTCAAGCTTAATACAGACATTCATCGCCGTTCAGCAGAAGTTGCCGTTTCGATTCGGGCCCAAGTCATGCATAGCGAGTTTGGTTTTCTTTTGTATTTTTACCCAGCACCGATTGTTTTGTCCCTCCCAGTTCCTTTGAGAATCCGTCCTGCACCCGTTACGCTTGTCAGTTGAAACCTGAGTTCGAGCACTTTCTGATTTCACTTTTTAATATTAAACATTCTGCCAAGGCAGGAAAGGTACTGAATACCGAACAGGCGCGTGCCCAGCCGATGCGAATATTCCTGATCTCATTTGCGGAGGGTACAACCCATGCCCTAGTGTTGAAAATGCGAGGTCGTGTGCGCCATCAATGGCAGAGCGGCAGGACCGAGATCACCGCAATTGATGGGATGGGTTGAAATGCGCCACAGGTGACAATGTCGTTGTCAAGGGCCGTGAATTAATGCCGAGTGTAAGAGTGTGGCGTAGGTAACAGTGTTGAACGTTGATCCCCGGCCCCGAGATTCAACGAGAAAAACAAAAAACAAAGCATTGACTTGCACCGGGAGTTGTTGCAAAGACTCGGCGATTGGAAAGCGTATGGAAGCCGCCCGTTCGACTCGGCCCTGAGTCATCTTGTTCCTCGTTCGTTCGAAGGAAGTTTGAGTGTCAGGAAGACTAGAGAGCAGATGCAGGAGGAAGACAAGAAGCATCACGTTACCACGTACCGGGGGCGGTGCCGGGCTGGTGTGCCGGGTTCAACCGGTACCTCTTCCTTCTTACCGTCATCTTCTCGTCCTGGGAGTTACCACTACGACTCGGTGGCAAAGGGAATCGCATCCGCTTCATCTGGGTGAATGGCGCCGGAAGTTCCCCAGCGGAAGTCGCCTGTTCGTACCAGGCCCGAGTCATGTCACCGATTCAAAGCTTTTGTCTGCACGCCAATTGCACGCACTTTCCCCCCCGCCCTTCAAGCTTCAACTTCTCGACTTTCATTGCCAGTCACCCACTTCCTCCCGCCTGTGATACGCTCTCACCGGTGCTCCTGGACAACATCCATCGCAGAGGGCTTCAATGATTCTGCGCCTCCACCGAATCAGAGCTCCAGTCTCTTTCCAGGCGGCTTAATTTTTTCCTGTCTTATTCAGGGTACATTCAGTCTGAATACCGACTCGGTGGCGGACGGTCCGCTCTGTTTACCGTGTGTGATATTGACATGGTTTATGCAGAAGGCGTCCGTTCGACTGGGGCCCGAGTCATGGAGGAAAATGATTTTCTCATTCCGCACTCTTGCTTTCCAGTGCTGATTTTTTTTTTTTGCAATCCGACCCGCGTATTTCCATCATATGGCCGTGGCCGTGAACCCTCCCTCGTCCGGGCTGGATGTACTTTCATCCACGATCCCGATGCAGTACGTATTGACTAAGTTCGTCCATTCCGTGATATCTTGCTTGAATATTCAGGTAGGTCGAATGAACTGCTTTTGACGACTCGGTGATGGACGGTCCGCATCTGCGGCCGATAAATACGGAATGGCAATGTCAAGCAGAGTACGCCCGATTCATCCACTTGTTTTGGAGGTTTTTGTATTTTGCCCACTAATTACCAGTTTTCTTTCACCCGGATACATACTACTAAATCCCAGTAGATGGTGCCAAGTCAAAGGGTTTTTCCGGCTTCTTTGGATCTTAAATTTTCTACTCGTATGTGCCCGCCCATCCCATGAATCCTCCTGCATCTTGATTGGTATTTAAATTTCTCATCCCGTGCTCTCACTAAAACTTTGAGCTGGTACGTCGGTTTTAAACACCTTCCGGCCAGTTGGTGCCCTCCGGCGCTCTTTGTCACTAGGTATTACTGATCTTCCTGACACAGAGGACTTCCGAGTCTGATGCTGACTCCGTGGCGGAAGGTCTGCATCCAAACGTACTCCATTCTTCGTCTTTCAGGATCAGTTTCGCCCTCTTTCTTCCCAACACCGAGTTATGTGATATCATGTTCCCGTACACAAAGCCGTGGCGATCCTATTCCCGCACCGTTCTCTCACCAGTTAATCGGAGACAGCGCTAATAGGTAGTTGCCGCCGGTGACAAATTTTAGCCAATAAATTGTACAAAAAAAACGCCATCTGCTTGACCTTGACCCCGAATCGAACGGGTGCCTTCTGAACAATCTATTGCACATGACTCAAGTAGGGCGAAACGGATCATCCGCCACCGAGTCGGTCTTAGAACTCCTTCCGACCTACTGTAGATGTGCAAGCAAGCTACCAAGAATGGGCAAAGTCAGTACATATCATGCAGGGGGGATGAAATGCCAATAAGGCGAGGTGAGGGGTCAGCGACCTGCTGTAATAAAAGTGATACGTTCCGCGACAAGTAGTAAAATGATTGTCTCAGTGGAAAATCCGGAAAACAAAAGTCCTGGTGGTGGTCCATGACTCGGCCTCGAGTCGAACGGGGTCTTCTGAGGAACAGTTACAAAACTACTTAAATGAAGCAGATGCGGAGCGTCTGCCACCGAGTCAGTTATTTCTTGCCCTGCAAGCACGTGGCATGAGCAAGATGAGGGGCAAGGCAAAAATAGAGGAAAGGGGAGAACAGAGCGCGGATTGTGAAGGAAATGGAGCTACAGCTTGGCTCTTTATATGCAGTGTACGTAGCCGCAATATATATCATCACCCTGCGGTGTCTGGAATTTACAGACATTCAGCAAATGTGCAGCACCTTATCAATTCCGGTTGAACCATCAAATTCATCAGCGTAGCTCGCAGGTTAAGTTCAAACTTCGGAATTATCGATTCGAGCATGGTGCGAGCACATTGTAGTTATACAGAGGGTCATTTGATCTGGAAGAGGAAGAGCGAGGTGAGAAAGCCGTAAGAAAATGGATCATATTCATCGCTTGACACTTGATTAGGTTTACAGCTGTTTGCAATGAGCATGACACTTAGGAATTTTTTTTAAATAAGATCAATTTTGATTGCACATTTTGACAGCGACGCCCAGGACGCATTTCTGGACGGATTTGCTTGATTTATGGTGCGCACGTGAGGGTTTCAACGGAGCTTTCCATCCATACCCTACTCAAAGTGTCATGGCTGTTTCAAAAATCGCTGTGGGTCTTTGCACCCACATCTTGCAACAACGGTTTCTCAGCCAATTCTCAACCGAATTTGGATGATTGTAAATGTTTTCCAGAGGCGATCCTCTGGTACACCCGACTCCTGAATAGGGTTTTATTTCAACCTGAAATGCAAGCACCACGACTGATTGTTCAAATAAACAAAACAACTGCTTTTTAAGATACTTACTGTAGATGTGACGACATCTCTTATTATGGGAGTGGATGCCTAGTTCACAGTGTTTGAACACATGTTGAATCAGATGAATCGATGAAGAAATGGCCAAAATATCACCATTGCAAGGTGCGGTTGAAACCACAGCTTTGGCGAACACAAATATTTGGTATCCCACCTTGGGCCGGGTATGGTTAGAAAGCGCCGTTGAAGCCCTCTCGAACGTACTAGAAATGAATGAAATCCGTTCATAAATGCGTCCCGGGCGTCGTTGGCAAGGTATACAATCAAAATTGGTCTTATTTACAAAAAATTGCCAAGTGTGATGCTCATTGCAAACAGCTGTAATTGGCCCCTGCGCGTGCTCCGAGCGCCCAAACTGGGAGCATGGGGGGTTGTCTTTTTCAGTGCGGACGAACCTATATAGAGAACCCAAAAGATGTCGGGGATCGCCATACAGCCCCGCGTCTTGTCCATTTGAAGACGTGGGTCAAAATACTAGACCAGACAATTGATAAGAAACTGTTGTTGCTTATTCGAATTTCTTTGTCTGACTGATCACCCCCGGACTGTGATCGCCGAAAGCGATGATCGATCAAAAAAATCTATAAAAAGAGTGCTGCGAGAATCACATGCACGTATGGCGCTCCTGTTTCGGTCCCAGGCGTCCTCGCTTCCTTCACGGAGACCTGGTCTCAAAGACTACTCACTTCCATCAACGGGGAATACAAGATGAAGGTCGCCAAGTTGCAAGACGGATTTGTGTTCCACGCACACCACGATGTAAGCATGTGTACAACAGTAATGCTCTCGATACTGTTCTGATGGGCACTCCAGACAGACGAAGTCTTCTATGTCCTTTCTGGCATAGTCACCATTGAGTTACAAGGCGTGGGTCTCGACAAGGTTGTGCTGAACAAAGGAGACGTGTTCGTGTTGCCTCGAGGTGTTCAACATCGGCCCGTGGTGGAGGAGGGCATTGCCGAGGTTCTTTTCATCGAAAAGACGGGGGTAGTGAATACGGGAGACGCCGTTGGTGCGGAGCAGCTACTTAAAGAAGTAGATGACGCCAGCGGATAGAATATAGAACTGCTTGGCAAGGCGTTGTGTTGTCGTGTTGTCCGTGCCCGTGACCGCAATCGATAGCTGTGCACAGGTGCGCATCAGTCCTTTC